TTTTTTTTTTTTTTTTTTTTTTTTTTTTTTTTTTTTTTTTTTTTTTTTTCTCCACAGACGTATCTGTCTGGTAAAAAGGATAGACCAGATATCAACCAGATATCAAAGGACTATCCAAGCACCTTCCTTAGTATATTAATTATTATTATTATATTATTATTATTATTATTATTATTATTATTATTATTATTATATTATATTATATTATTATTATTATTATTATATTTTACTATTTTAGTCCTCTGTCGAAGGTATTAATATTTCCCTCAGGCGGTTAGCCAAAGTAAGGAAATAGATCTGCAGCGGTCTTTTCACCGTATCCGGTTCTCATCTCCTAAAACTCTACGTACTGTCCTACATGTTCCCAGCAGTGCAGCTTTTTGCAGTTGCAAGTATATTTTTGGATGGAGCTGTAGCTTTTCCAGACTCTTGTGTAGTTTCCTTGGTATCTCTCCAGTAGCTCCTATTATAACTGGTATTATAGACACATTGCCCATTTCCCACATGCGTTTGATTTCGTCGGAGAGTGGCAAATACTTATTGATTTTTTCCGCATGGGTGGTTTGGATATTAGTAGGAAGAGGCACAGCTATGTCTATTATAAACGTCGTTCTTTCTTCTTTTAGTGTGAGCACTATGTCAGGAATATTGTTGGGGATGGGCCTGTCAGTTATGATTTTACGGTTCCAGTACAGCCTAGAGGTCTCCGTTTCTATCACAGGTGGCGGCGTGTATTTATAGTAGGGCTGTGTACCAGTTTCTCCTAGATGCTTTTTAGCCAAAGCTTGATAAAGTATTTTGGCCACATCATTGTGCCTTTCAAGATATTGTTTAGGAGCTAAGGGAGAGCACCCTGCTACAATATGATCTATGTGCTCATCTTTTTCCCCACATATGCGGCATCTGATATCGTCAACGTTCTCATGCATTATACGCTTTCGGTACAACTTTGTTGGGACTACCTGATCCTGGATGGAGGCTATGAAGCCCTCCGTCTCCAGGAACAGATTACCTGACTGCAACCATCCTTGGGAAGCCTTCGTGTCAATGGCGTTGTCTTCTATGCGGCTCCTATACCGACCATGTAGTGGTTTGGCTTTCCATTGGCGAACCAGATCCTGCATTGGGTTATCTTTGCCTCAGGGTCGAAAGATTTTTCTGAAAGGTTTAGTGGTGTCAACTTTTTATCCGTCTGTGTTATTGCTTGATGCATTCTGCTGGATGTGCTTTTGGAGGAAGTACTGGCGTAGATTGTCCACTTGGCGGCGATGTAGTGTAGGTATGCAAGGTATTCCTCTGCCACCCTCACTTCGTGGTAGATGGAACCGCTCTATGGAACTATGTGGGTGGTGTCCCCGGTATTACGGAATTCTTTTCTGGTTTCCACATTAAGTGCGTTCAGATCTGTATCCGTCCAGTTCAGTATGCCAAACGTATAGGTAAGGACCGAAGTAGCGTAGGTGCTGACAGCAAGTGCTGTATTACGAGCTGACAGACTTGTTTTCAGCACCGCCCTCAACGTGTTCTATAGTGCTCCATTGCCCTTTTCTTTTGCAGCTTTCTGGTCTATGCCCGGCGCTTGTAGATAGCCTAAGTATTTATACTGTTCATCTTGCTGCATTCCTTCAATTTTCCCTTGCACTTGGTTCGGCTCATATCCTGAATGTTTACTCCACTGGCCTTTTACCATGCAACTGATCTTGCACTTGTCTAAGCCAAACAGCATCTTGATGTCAGTGCTGAATTTACTTACACAGTCCAGAAGCTTATGAAGATGTTCTTTGGTTTCTGCAAAAAGTTTGAGGTCGTCCATGTACCAAAGATGTGAAATGCGTGTTTCATTGCCACCTAACAGTATTCCTTTCTTTTGGCTATTTAGCATTGTTGTTAACGGTCTAAGCGCTAAGCAGAACCATAGCGGACTTAAAGAGTCTCCTTGAAATATTCCTCTCTTGATGGATACCTCTCCGGCACTGAATTGCGTATCTTGGGTGTTGAGATAGAGCCGTGTCTTCCAATTCGCCATAGCATGTGCCAGAAATTGTTTGATGTGGCACTCGATCCCATAAAGGTCAAGCACCTCTAACAGCCAAGAGTCAGGTATACTGTCAAACGCTTTCTGATAATCGATGTATGCAATGTACAGGGGTATTTTTTTCTTTTTGGCATAATTAGTTATGACAGAGTCTATAACAAGTTGCTCTTTACAGCCTCGAGACCCTTTTCGGCAACCTTTTTGCTCTTCGTCTAGTATAGTATTCCGCTCTAGGTGTGAATATATCTTTTCAGTAATTATAGCAGTCAATACCTTGTAAATAGTCGGCAGACAGGTGATTGGTCGGTATTTTGCCGGATCGTTCGAGTGATCGCCGCACTTTGGGATTAAATATGTTATTCCCATTGTTAAGAACTCTGGCAACATATCTGGTTGCTCTAAGATTGAGGTGTAACACTTTGCGAGTCGATCGTGAGCTGAAGTGAACGTTTTTAGCCAATAATTCTGAAGCTTATCTGATCCTGGGGCTTTCCAGTTTGGTAATTTTCGTAGAGTATTTACCACGTCATCTAAGCTTACTTTCCAGTCGAGCATGGTCCTAAAAGTTGAATTATTTGCTTTCTCTTGGCGGTACCATTTAGATGTGGAATGATTGATTGGATTGCTCCAAATTCCTGACCAGAAGGTATTGATGGCATCTGAGGTAGGAATCTGAACGTTGTTCTGATCTGTATCCCTCCGTCGCGCCTGCAAGTTCCTGTAAAAGCCTCGCTGATTGGTCTCGAATGCTCGATTTTGTTTCCGGCGTTCGTTGCTTTTCTTGTACCTTCGAAGTCGCAGTGCTGTAGCTGCTAGTTTTTGCTTCAGGTAGTCCAAGACTTCTACGGCTGTTGGGTTCTCCTCCGAGCAGTGACGGTTTATCACATTCTCTGCGGATCTCTTTACTCTCAGACTACAGTCAGACCTGCGGTACTGGGTGAGTATTGCTATGTCCTTTCTAATCTCCTCTATATTACGCGATATCCTCATCTCCCAGGCTGGCAGTTTTCTGTTTTTCCTTACACATTGTTCGCCAACTCTCTGTTCATTTAATTTTAGGACTGTAAGTGCTCCAATGTACAACAGGCTATGGAGCTCAGTCAAGGTTGTATCTTCTGTAATCTCGTTATCTATTACTTTGTTAACTTCAGCGATATACTCAGATGTATGGGGTTTTATTATTAGCTTTGGTAGGCTTGGTTTAAGAGTTGGTTCCACACCATCATACTTCATGAACAAGCCCCTGAACTCATCTGCGTATTTAGATGGTTGGCCATCGTTTATCTCAATTTGTTCTTGGTTTTCTGTGTGCTCTTGCGGAGCTTGTACCTGCATTCCTAATTCTATGGATATCTCTTCTCTTATTTTGTTTATCTCCTCTGCCGGCAATCTGTTGTTTATGAATACGGATCGGCGCTGGTCTAGTACGTTTTGCACAGTTTTGCCTTGCAGGTGAGGGAAGTTCATGATAACTTGTCTGTGTAGTTCAGTACCATAGGGCTCTGTAGATGTTTCTAGTTTAGTTATTCTGTAGTAGGAGCGAACCACAAATCTGTTCATTTCAGTGGTCCACGTGGTTCTTTTTCTCCTCCTATTGTCTGGCATTATGGGCTGGGGCTCTTGGCTTCCAGCAACATGATTGCCATCTTCGACCCCAGGAAGCTGTTGGATGGGGTCATTCGAGTTACTTCTCACACTATCTGTGGGGGGCTTTCGCTGGATGACGACCGGGTGCGACCTTCCCCTACGCTCCCTGCCGGACGCGGACCTCGTCGCATAGCGTCGAGTCCCGATTACGTCGTTACATTCCGAGGCTTCATTTTGTTTTTTCTCCATTTCTGGGTAATTGTTCTCTTTTGATAGGTAGGTATAATTGTTTACCTAAAGTGTTTAAACTCAGGCGTGGAAGAGAGACAAAAACCACGCCTGGATGAACAGGAGGTGTGCTGGCCGTACTGACTTTCCTTCGGTGTTAATAACAGTAGCTCAACCACTTGGTCGGAGGCAGACGTTGCGTTGCTGGCTGTACCGTCTACGTCGTTACGGTAGCGGGTTGAAACTGCTGGCGGCAGTCCCCTTACCATTAGTTATTATTATTATATTATTATTATTATTATTATTATTATTATTATTATTATGATTATTATTATTATTAGTATTATTATTATTATTATTATTATATATTATTATTATTATTATTATTATTTATATTATTATTATTATTATTATTATTATGATTATTATTATTATTATTATTATTATTATGATTATTATTATTATATTATTATTATTATTATTATTATTATTATTATTCTTTATTATTATTATTATTATTACTTATTCTATTATTCTTATTCTTATTATTATTCTTATTATTATTAGATTATTATTATTCTTATGATTATTATATTGTATCTTCTTATTATTCTATTATGAATTATCTTATTATTCTTATTATTATTCTTATTATTATTCTTATTCCTTCTTATTCTTATTCTTCTTCTTATTCTTCTTATATTATTTATTATTACTATTATATTATTATATTATATTATTATTTTTTTTTTTTTTTTTTTTTTTTTAAACCCACAGTGGCATCGACAGCTCTGGTCATTAGCCACTTCCCTCCTGCCTCATGAGGTCATTAAGTTGAACCTAGATCTCAGGGATAGATCTGAGAGTTGGATAATATATAGAACGCACACAATCACATACAGTATAAATAATTCATTGCATCATCCCATTAACTTAATTCAAGTATGGAGGTAAAACTGAGTGTTTACCATAGGTAAATTACTACAGCATTGAGTTTGTCCTGTTCCTAGTAAAATATGTGGTGTGCCAGACAGAATTCAGGTAAGTTGTGTTAATAATGCATTCTTATATAGGATTCATTGTTTCTTGATACACAATATACCCACATATACATATTTTCGAGATATTTATGTTGGAGCTAATATTTTAAGATTTTTATATTGGAAGATTTTTTGTTTAGATTTTGTGTAGCATATTTGTCGATTTCATGAAGTTCAGTAAGTTGTTTATGTTTCTGTCGTTTGAAAAGCATTCTTTCAGGTTTCTTGGTATAGAACATTCTAGGCGCTTAGAGTTAAATTTTGGACATTCCAGGATGATGTGTTCTACGGTAAGAGTGCAGTGGCATTCATCGCATAGTATTGGGCTTCGCCCTAGGAGAAGATGTGATGAAGTTAGGTGAGTATGTCCAATCTTTATTCTTGTAAGACAAACTTGTTCTCGTCTAGTTAGGCCTGTCGGATATTTCCATTTCTCGATTGTAGGTTGTAGTATCCTCAAACGACTTATACTTTGGCTCCACTGATTTTGCCAACGTTGATGTATCTGGAGCTTGAAATGGGCTTTTAGGTCTTCAGGAAGTACGGTGCTGACGGGGGTTCCATTTTTGGGTCGCGTCACGAGCTGCTGCATCTGCTAGTTCGTTGCCAGGAATATTTACATGCCCTGGAGTCCAAATAAATACGACTGTGTTCGAATTATGCGTTAGTTTATGACACCGATTAATCACCTGCTGGACGAGGGGATTCTTAGCTTGTTGATTTCGTATAGATTGAAGGGCGGTCATTGAATCTGTACATATGAGGTATGTACTACACCGGGTTGTTTTGTCAAGCAAGTATTTAAGGGCTGCCGAGATGGCATACAATTCGGCTGTATATACGGAAGTAATAGGATTTAGACTATACTTAAAGGTTTCTGTTAGGGTGGTAAATGCTGATCCTACGCCACTTTCATTTTTCGCTCCGTCTGTGTAGATGACTTCAGGTGTATTATATCTACTTATTATTTCATTGAATTTATGTAGATAAACATATCCCGATGTTATGTTTTTTGGATAAATAGCGCAGTCTAGTACAATATTCGTCCTGGTGTCGATCCATGGTGGAGTTTCACTTGGTTTCTTAGTGTATATGTCAGGGATAACAGCGCCAAGGTCGTTTATAATCTCTGATAGTCTGACTCCGAATGGTCTTGTAATAGTAGGTCGGTTGTCGTATTCTTCACTGCTATCATTGTTGAAAATGATATCGTGGTTTGGGTGAGAGGGTTGAGCCCATATGTTAATTCCATAGTTAAGCATTAACTGCGATATGCGTAAATCAAGCGGTGGAGTATTCGCATCGCAATATATCGAGCTGGATGGACTAGTGCGAAACGCACCTAAGCACAGTCTTAATCCTTCACGATGGATGACTTCTAGGGTACGTATATGCGATCTTCTGGCAGCGGCAAAAGCTACAATACCATATTCCATTTTTGACATTACCAGCGATTTGTATAGCGTCAGTAGGACATCTCTGTCCGCGCCCCATTTTATGCTGGAGACGCATTTTATTACGTTAAGGGCTTTCTTGCATCTAACAGCTAATGACTCGATTTGTGGTTTCCACGTAAGTTTACGATCAAAGATTACTCCTAGGATCCGGTGAGTTTCTTTGACTTGGATTAAGTTTCCTTCCAAGGTTAATGCAGGTTCCCTATGTGCTGTTCTTAGCCGACAAAAATGGATTACTGTAGTTTTTGATCTAGAAAAGTTAAGACCATTTCTTTTAGCAGTTTCAACCAGGTTGTCGATGGTCTCTTGAAGTTTACTTTCCATCGTGACTATTTCTTTTGCCGAGTAATATATCGTTAAATCATCCACATACATACATTTTCCAATGGATTCATCGATGCACTGGAGTAAGTTGTTGGCAATTATTACAAACAAGATTACGCTGAGGGTGGAGCCCTGAGGTATTCCGTTTTCTTGGAGGTACGTATGAGATACTTTGTCCCCCAGCCTTACCTTGAACGACCGGCTTGCAAGGAAGCTTGCAATGAATGTGGGCAGCCGTCCCCGAATTCCCCATTGATGGAGAGTTGATAGGACTCCATATCCCCAGGCGGTATCGTATGCCTTTTCTAGGTCAAAAGAGATAGCAATCAGATGGCTCCTGTTGGCAAAACTGTTCTGTATGGCTGTTTCCAAGTGGATAAGGTGGTCTACGGATGATCTGTGCTGCCTGAAACCTGTCTGAGAATTTATTAGCAGGTTTCGTGTCTCCAGTAACCACATTAATCTTCGACTTATCATTTTTTCTAGGATCTTGCTCAGACAACAGGTCAGGGATATTGGTCTGTAGCTCTCAGGCTTGTTGAATCTTTGTCTGCTTTAGGAATAGGTATCACTATTGATTCTCTCCACTGATCTGGGTAAGTACCAGTTTGCCATATTTTATTAAACATTTCTAATATTGCTTGTTTTTCTGTTACAGGTAGGTTGCGTATCATGCAATAGTGGACGGAGTCCGGGCCAGCGGAAGAGTCGTTAGTCTCTTGAAGAGCATTTTCGAATTCGGTAAGAGTGAAATTGTTGTTATATTCCGATATGTTTGATTCACTAAAGTCAAGTGCATTGCTTTCAATTTCTAGCTTCCTTTGATAGGCCCCAAGGCTTAGGTTGTCATTGGAACATATCTCTTCAAAGTGCATGCCTAGCGTGTTGGCTATCTCTGTAGCGCCCGTAACTTCTCTTCCTCCTACTCGTAACACTGGGGAAGGTGTGGCGAAGTGTTTGCCGGATATGGTTCTGATTTTCTTCCATACATCTGAGCTTGGGGTCTCTGAAGTGATGTCAGATACATATTTTTGCCAAGAATTTCTTTGGCCTGCTAACATCAATCTCCGTGCTCTAGCTCTGGCTTGTTTGAATTTCATCATATTTGCCAGAGTTGGGTTTCTTTTGAAGACATTGTAGTTATGCTTTTTGCCTTTAATGGCTTCTTCAATTTGTTGATCCCACCAGGGTACTATAGGTTTACCAGGTTGTATGTTTGCTTTAGGGATGCTTTCGGAAGCAGCATTCAATATACTGTCAGTAACGTTGCTGACGGTTTCAGATATTGAATCACCTATTCGCATTGGAGTCAAATGTTCTCGAAATTTCTCCCAATTTGCCTTTTTAACATTCCACCTTTCTGCAAGTGGAACACTTGTATTTTGTACGGCACAGTTAAGTAGTATTGGGAGATGGTCAGATGAGTGATCATCTAAAACTTCCCAATCAAAGAGATATGATACACTTGGGCTACAAAGTGCCAAGTCTATCGCACTGTAGTTGCACGACCTAGAGTTAAGAAATGTTCCTTCGCCTTTATTCAGCACCATTAAATTTGCTTCGTTAATTATATCTTCCACTATCCTCCCTCTGGTGTCCAGTTTTTGTGAGCCCCAAAGAGGGTTATGCGAGTTAAATCTCCTACTAAGAGAAAGGGTTTGGGAAGCTGTTCACATATGCTTTTCAATTGATTATATTCCCAGTTTTGATTGGGTAGGTATATGTTGCATATGGTCAATTTTATAGGTACTATTAGTTGAACAGCAACAACCTGAAGCTCGGATGTGATGTTGACCTCTGTAAAGGGGATATTTACATCCAGAAATATTGCCACGCCGCCCTTGGCACGGATTTGCGGCGTATCATCCTTTCTTACACATTTGAACCCACGTAGCTGAAATTTCGTGGTTGGAGAGAAATGGGTCTCTTGAAGACAGAGACAAAAGGGCTTTTTCTCCTGCATGAGTAGTTTCAGTTCTGGATAGTGATTAACACACCCATTAATATTCCACTGGACGATGGATTGCATGAGTAGAGTAGATTTATTTTACACATTATTATTATTATTAGTATTATTATTATTATATTATTATTATATTATTATTATTAGTATTATTTATTATTTTATATTATATTATTATTATTTTATTATTATTATTATTATTATTATTATTATATTAGATTATGATTATTTATTATTATTATTATTATTATTATTATTATTAGTATTATTATTATTATTATTATTATTATATTATTATTATTATTATTATTATTATTATTATTATTATTATTATTAGTATTATTATTATTATTATTATTAGTATTATTATTATTATTATTATTATTATTATTATTATTATTATGAGTATTAGTATTATTATATGATTATTATTATTATTATTATTATTATTTATTATTATTTATATAATTATTATTATATTATTATTATTATTATTATTATTATTATTCTTATTCTTCTTCTTCTTCTTCTTCTTGTCTTCTTCTTCTCGTCATTCTCTTCTTATTCTTATTCTTCTTCTT